CCCCCCCCCCCCCCCCCTTACTGATTCATCCCCAGCCGGTCTCCAGAGTGTGTCACAGCACGGTCTTGGCTGAGGAAATGGAGGAATGTGGTGCTTCCCCAGACTGAAATACTGTAGACACTGAGTTTACTGCACCTTCATTCCATCTTCAGAGTTTTCTAAGTTCCTGAAATAAATCGCCCTCTGTGTTACGTCCCCTCTGGCCTTCTTCCAAGACCCCCGCTCAGCCAGTCCTGGGGGTGTTCAGGTCTTTGTGGTGACAGTAATTTGTGGCTGATGATTCCTGCGCTTGCACAGTTACAGTATGCTGATTTCTGCGTGGCAGGAATTGGATACTGCGGGTGTGCACGGCCCCTTCTCTCTTTCTTTGAAGTGTGAGTCTCAGCCGAACTTCATTATTTGCCCTTATCCATAATTTCTGGAGCGCAGTTGCTTTAGATTATTAAGATACTAGGTAAAGTGATCCATTTTAAAAGTAAATGTGACATTTTACAGTGTGGATGAAACGCTACCACGTGTGGTGTTTGCTGAGAACTACTTTACTTTGCATAAAAAAGTCCATTATTACATAGTTGGTGACGCTTGGGCTTTCATTTATTTCTGAACAGCATGATGTAGAAATAAATAAAATTATATCCACAACTGCATCAAAGACAGAAACACCAACAGTGTCTAAAGCTCTGAGTTCTTCTTTGGATGACACTGAAGTTAAGAAGGTGATGGAAGAATGTAAGCGGCTGCAGAGTGAAGTTCAGAGGCTGCGGGAAGAGAACAAGCAGTTCAAGGTAACGGCGTCTTATTTTCTGATCATCTGCAGGGAACGGGGGCTTTTTCACTGTGATCTTGGGTGGGGAAGTTGATGACCCCTGGATTTGTAGAGTTGTTTTATATTTGCACAATATAAACTCTTGTCGCCTCGTATAAAACCAACCAACAAACAATCCATTAGTGCAAATTGAAATTCAGTTCTGAGACTAAAAATAAAACAGCAGTGCTTATCTTGAATTCACACGTTCAAACCCCACCCCATCCGCACTGAATGAGAATCTTTTTTAAGTGGGTAAATTCTGACCTGTACTCTGCTTTAACACAGGCATAATGTTCTGTTTCATGAGGATCCTAAATAGGTCTAGGCAGTAGGGTCTCATCCTGCTGTTAACGCGGTGAGGAGACTGGAGATGGGAAGCCGTCGCCGTACATGGGTGGAAATTACAGGGAACCAGAGTCTCCAGCTTGTGGCCATCGACCCGGCGGTTGGCATTGGAGGGAAGCAGGTGCACTTCGCTTGGTCTTGGAGGCCTGCGGTGTTGTGGAAATGACCAGCCAAACTTGGGCTCACTGTGAATCTTTGTTAGTCACGGCGGCTCCCAGGCCTCTGTTCGCAAAACCCCTTTAAGGCCCCTTCCAGTGTTAAAAGTCTGTCTGTTTCATACACAGTATTAAAGAGAGCATTTCTGAACGTCCGATCATAGGGTCTTTCGTTGCAGCTTAAATCTCGAGGCCGATCTGTTCTCTTCATCGTGATCATGTCCCCCAACCACATGATAGGCTTTTTCACTCTTTCACTGCATAGCACCAGGTACACGTCATAAATTCGTGGCAGTTGACTTTTCCTTCTCTCATTCTAGCAAGGTAGTAGATACAGGAGGGCTGACAGAGTTTGGCAAATGGCATCATCTTCTTTCTTTGCAGTAATCTTGATTTGACTTCTTCTAGTAAGGAGTAAATTATGAAGCTGACTCGCCACTTTTTGGCTAAAAATCTAAGATACGCCTAGAGGTTCTCCTTGAATGTATTGCTCTTCAGAAACAGACTTCTGTGCCATTTAAAGTGATAAATAGGTAGAAATAGCTTCTATATAAAGCCAGTAAAATAAATGCTGTATTGCTGTGCCCATTTTTTTTTTTTTTGAAGTTAATTGAATAGCACCAGTCATTCATCACTGTGCAGTCGTATTGGCCATGCCCCATGAGCAGAGTGTCCTTTAAGATATTATCAGACGAATCTTGACATCAGAAGATTCTTTATCTTGCCAAACACTGATTCCTTGTTTTGTGTTGTTTCATCCTGTCATTTGGCCAGCACATTTCCTAAGGCCCTACCTTGTACCCCGCTCTGTGGATACAGGCACGGGCAGTCCCTGCCCTTAAGATAAGCTCCCTGGTAACCAGGGTAGCCGGGGAGGCCCCGACACGAATACTGATAACGAGTGTGATGAGTGGTGCCACCGAGATGGCCATGAGTGTCACGGGAAGTCTGCTCGATGGGTTGGATGCCTCTTGTCTTCAAGACCTGCTAGGCCCTCGGCGAATGTGAATGGGCTGAAGGAGAAGGGGAGAAAGTGCAGCTGCTGTGTGGGCATCAGGGATGAGCCGAGGGGTGACTAGCCGGGGTAGGAAAGCCTTGGTGTGCGCCCCGTTTGGGGACGTGGAGAAAGCAAAAGTTTCTGTTCGTACAGGTCTGTGTGTGCGGGGGAAAATGGCCAAGTTACCTTCATGTGTATGAGAAAGAGTCATTTCTTTGGTGGGAATTCCATGCGTTAAGTAGAAAATACTTGAGATGCATGTATCAAGCTCATTTTAATATTACGCACATCACAGTTTTGATCCAGCAGTCTACCTGTAACTCATCAGATATCAACTATATACAGAGCTCTACCTTTGAAAGCTTCCAGGTCCCCCACTTGGTCGTTTCTTGTGATTCTTCTCTCTGAAGAGTTTTTTCCTGTAAATCATGGGGAACCAGGGAGTCCCCTGCTTAGATGTGTGGTATAAAAAGGTACCCAGCAGCATTGCGTAGGATGGATGGGAGAAAAGAGGGGCTCCTGGCAGTATTTTTGTGGTGGCCTCAAGCCAGTCTCTTCTTCCGTGTAGGCTTGTTTCTCCATTTGCAAAACGAGGAGGTTGGACCTCATCATGTGATCGAGTCTGGGCATCACCGCCCCCCCCGCCGCGTCCCCCAAGCCGTACAGTTGACTGCTGCTCTGGTGCCTTGGACTGTCTTTGAAACGTGTGTTTGCTCCCGTAGGAGGAAGATGGACTTCGGATGAGGAAGGCAGCGCAGAGCAACAGCCCCGTGCCCGCGTTAGCCGCGGCTGGGAAGGAGGAGGGCCTCAGCACCCGGCTACTCGCGCTGGTGGTTTTGTTCTTTATCGTCGGTGTAATCATAGGGAAGATCGCCTTGTAGAGGCAGCAGGCAAAGGATGGTAAATTGGATTGATGGCTCCGCCATATCATGGGATTTAAATGTATCATAACCGCGTGTAAAAAGAAGTTAATGTATGATGACATCTCACAGGTCTTGCCTTTAAATTACCCCTCCCTGCGCGTGTGTGCTGCCGCACGCGTGCACACACACACATAGAACATAAAATAACAATCTTGTAGAAAGTTTAACACGTATAGTAAATGATCGGGGGGAAAGAATGATCCTTATTAATGACAAGGGAAACCATGATTAAACGAGACTGGCATGTTGTACACGAGGCTGGCATGTTGTACATGTCATTTTAAACACTTGTAGCCTTGGTCCACGTTGCTGATCACCTCTCTTCCAAAACGACACCCTTCCTTGCCTGTTGGTGCTGGCCCTCGCGGAGCTGGAGCCCAGCGCGGTGGAGAGTACATCCCCCCAAGGCGTCCTCCCCGCGCTGCTCGCTCCCTCCAGGCTGCTCCTCCATGTCTGCCCCGGCCATCAGTTCCCTGGGACTGATGGACAGAGTCTGAGGCCGAGAAGAACGGCGCTGTGGCAGCATCAGCTGTGCCGGGAGGTGTATGTTGCCCGAGTGACCCGATACTCTGGAAACAGAAGTCAGTGAAGGCTTTGTTCTCTTAAAGGGACCAAGCTAGATAACCATTGGTTCATGTCATGAGATTGAATTGTTATTCAGAGATGTTTAATGCATATTTAACTTATTAAATGTATTTCATCTCATGTTTTCTTGTCACAAGATTATAATTAACTCTGTGGCCTAAAATCACCTGTGCTACCTAACTCTGCTGGGTGAAGCTGGCATTGCTGCTGGAGGTTCTGGGCTGTACACACATATGGAGGTGCGGCTCATTGGAACATTGGAGAACAGCTGCCAAGAAGTGGTTTTCTGTGCAAATAAATAACTCTCATAGGGAGGGAAGTGCTTAGTAGTGGCAGTCAACTCTAGGTTACGCTTTCTGTGGGGAAGGGTAGCCGATCTCTGTACTGTTCTTTCTTTCTCCACTCCTCAGCCACCACTCACGCTTCAGCACACGTGCCCCAGTGTGGCCCTGACCTTCCCCGTGTGGCCCTAGCTGGGGATCAGGGCATGTGAGTCAGGCAGCAGAGGGGTGAGGAGAGAGGAAACCGACTCGGTGGGGTTGGGAGGGGGTGGGAGAGAAACGTCAGATAATCCATCAAGTAGTGATTGAGAGTTTGTGAATTAATTTTATGCCATAAAAGACCAATCCAATTCTGTTTGACTATGTAGCATCTTTAAAAGAAAAAAAAATTAAAATAAAGCCCCCAAATTAAGAGTTCTTTTGTCATTTTGTCACTTTTGCTAAATGGCGGGGGGAGGGAGACATCATTTTTATCATTATTATTTTGTCATTGGAAGGTTGATTTAAAAATGAACCCTATCGATGAGAAATAACATGTTTACTGTACATCCTGAGAACTTGCGGTAAATGTTGAATAGACCTCGTTCTCGACCACACACCCATGGCGTGAAGCTATGGAAGGCCGGCCGCCCAGTTATAAATTCGTCTCCAGGCTCTATTCCGTGTGGACCCAGGTACTTAGGAAAAGGAGTGAGAAGACTGAGCTGGGAAGCATGTGCTTTCTGCTGTTGTCTCTGAGTGGAGTAAAATCTATCTGAGGGTAGGAGTTGCAACAAATTACTCTTCATGTGGCTTCTAGTACCTGATGACCTCGAAAGGAGAGTGATTGGGGGGGTGCCTCAAATAGTGCCTGGGGGTGCAGTACAGTCCCATTCCTCTAGAGCAGGAGTTGGTAAACATTTTCTTAAAGGATGTTGCTGTGTGTGCCATTAAAACTTTATTCACAAGAACAGCTGCTGGGATTTGGCCCGTGAGACTGGAGTTTGCTGGCGCCTGTAGTCGAGTGACTAAGTTCTCAAAAAGAGTGCCTGGGACACTTGTGTTTTAGGTCTTTGGAAGTGACTTAAGTGTTTCGTGTGCATCTAGAAGGAATTCAGCTTCTCCAAGGATGGTGGCATTTTGTGTGTAGCTAAAAATCATCAAAATCTAAAATCCAAAGCTGTCTCTTAAAACTAATCATCCTGTGAAACCTCTTTCTGTTTTAGGAGCTGGGACTTGGTGAGCACCTGTTGAGCTTTTTGACTGAGTGGAAGAAGGGAACGTCTCCGCCCC